ACGAAATCAGTCGAATCTTTGCCGTCACTTCGAGAGACTCGCGCCGAGATCCTGTGTTAGTGGGGCTGCTATGTGCTCTCCGTTGAGCTCAAGGTTAAGTCTTTAGTCATTTGGTCGTGGTGCTGCACCCCTCCTGTTTACAATGAGCTGAAATGGGTTATCTGACAACCACAATCATGATTATTCTGTGACCGCCCAGCCGGAGGGCTCTGTAAGCTCTTTTGAGGACATCATGACTGTGGATTGATTCCTCGAGTAAGATTTGTTTACCTGTCACAAATCCCCTTTACTCCAATGTTAACTAAATCTGTTCCTAATCATTTGGCGGTGGTTCGAACTTCACGAAGATGCAAGGAGAATTGCTTTGATCAGCAACCCTTTTTCCGGTGTCATTAAATTATGACTTCCGGCGACAGGACACCGAGCAAGATGCTCGAAACGCTGCGAGGATAAATCGGTGCACCTTCATACCATGTATCCGGCCGACAAGTTGACCAGGATCGACTCGATTGCTTTCAGCTGTGTGTGCTTTGCAGCCGCGTCTCTCGTTTATTAGATCTCCCGATAGTTCGCTTGGGGGAGCTCCCGGCTGCGGACCGTGGGAGTAGTATTCTGTACATATAAAGCTTGTTCCCTGTTCTCTTGTCTGACCTAATTGGAGCGTATTCAGGTCGGTTGTTCGAGTTGGTAGGACTGTAGCGTGCGCTACCACCTTCTACTTCGCACAGACTGTCGTAGAACCAGCCGCTGTCCGTGCAAACGCGCGGCCCGCGATTTTCCCCCGGAACATCCCGCAGAAGAAACATGGAACAACATGGCCGGAGGCCTAAAAGGGTTGAAGGCACATGTTTGTTTTGCACTATGTCCGCTCAGCTCGCAATGAGTGGAGCAGTGGGCAGACGTGTACATGGACATGGCCATCAAGTCCAGAATTGATCAAAGATTATGCCTATTGCAATGCATGCTGTTGAATTCGATGACTCCTAGCAGAGGTTTGGACCCCGACGGCTGGGACATGCCTCGCAATCAGGACAGGTCTCGATGACTTGACGGTCGACTAGCTCATCTCTACATCTATGTACTAATGTAAAGAGATCGGGAGAGCGCAGCAGGAATTGATTGGCGTCTCATCCGAGAACAGCGACGGGGATCGTGACGTATATGCACCTCCCGCAAAGCATTGTGAGCAGCCTCTAGCCGTACCGGACACTTGGCTGCCTTCTGCAACTTGGTGACCTGCTCAGATGCGATGATGCGCATCATGCCAAGGATGTCCTGCGTCACGTACGCAGCCGCAGCTCCTCAAGAAACTCCGGTTTGCAGAGCCGGGGCTCCTCCAAGAAGTCCACGGCGGTGCAGGAGACCACCCGGATTCTGGAAGGCCTCACAGCTTTCAAGGCAAAGCTCGCTGCCAGCCACAAGCAGACCATGCAGTTGCTGGAAAGCGACTTGACGCCTTGCAGGCTCCCACGCCCCATCGCCCTAAACTCGGGGTTCATCGCAGGCTGACTACTGGTTTCCGAAGCTTTCATCGATTTGGTTTGAGCGCAGGCGGCTGTACCTGGGGAAGCACGTTTCTGCTCACAATGCACCAACAGCATCTCAGGTGAGTTGGAGAAGGTGAGGCGCCTCTCGACCTTGCAGACCTTGCACGCCGTGTCTGACGGGCACTTGGGATGCAAGCCAGGTTTGAGAAGAGGCTTCGGTTGCTGGCGCAAGCCACGGGATGCCTACAGCTTGTGTTGAAAACGAGTCCTCCCATCGCATGCAGAGATTTCGAAGAAGCCGTGGCGCTGCCAAAGACAGATCTTGGGATTGCCTAACTTCCCTGCAGAGGTCTGTCGCACCGGAGAAGCTCAAGCCCTCCCGCGAGCACAAAGAACATCGGAGCACCTCCAAGGACTTCAGGCGTGGCTTCTGCTTATGCTCCACATGAAAGAATCGCGAAGGTGAAGAGCACACCATGTTTCGCTTCTGAGTCAAAGAGTGTGTATGTGCGGACGCGTGCTTGTGAGCAAGCGCGTGAATGCGCAGTGTGGTGCAGGCAGACGGGTGGCTGGGCCGGCGGGCGGGTTGCTGGGTGGGTATGTGATGGGTGAGTTTGTGCACCTGTGTAAGTGCAGGGGGGGGGGGCCATCCACACGCGGGCTGCGATGTGCGATGTTCCAACCAAGCGGTCACAGCAAATGCAGATGTCGGGACGCGTCCCTGCTTGTTCACCGTTTGCAAGATGTAAATACTGCTCTAAAGTGTTCGTGTGGTCTATGGCAGTCAAGTGCCAGTGCGTGATCTGACTGATAAGCAAGACTTATCAAGAAGGATGACATACATGTGTATTTCGGGGGGTTCGGGGGTTTTCTCGCTCAACATCCCGTTCGCGGTATGAGTGTCTACTGCATCGAAGCCTGATCACATGAGCTTGGCCCTGATCGGTCCCCTCGCACCTCTTGTCGTGAGACCAGTCTGGCAGTTATGCAGTTATGTAATCTGTATCTGCGTGCGAAAGACCGAAAGAAAAGATAGACCCGAAAACCTTCTCGCCCTTGTGCTGAAGAGAATCAAAGTATGACGAGAAGGAGGAGTGAAACGAAGGAGACGACGTGGCGACCCAATGTGAGCGAGGTTAAGGGACAGACTGGGACCTCGCAAGAACCGCCAGATGTGACACCGAACTGAAGGTTGCGCCTTCCGGGCGTGCTGGGCCATGCAGACGACGCGCCAGTGGTCAACCAAATGGCAGGCCGAGTGTTCAGTTTCGAGGCATCCGGAGGCTCAGGCTTTTCTGGCTGTGCTACAGGTCGTCAAGATGAGACCAAAATCTTGCTTGAACATTTGATGGATTGTACTTTGTCAGGTTGTGGTGCTTATCGTCTGTTTGCTGGCAGGCACAGCGCAACCGACCTACATGTCCATCTCGTTACCCACAGCAGCAATAAACCAGCGAAAGCGGCGAATGTCATGGCTGCTGCGCTGCACTAATTTGTTTGCAGAAGCCGGCGCAGGCCTTCGTATCTGAGTGCTTTGCAAGTTTCAGGATTCAGCTAGATGCAGCGATAGATCCATTTGTGTGCAGGGTCGAGGGAGAAGTTTTCCCCGAGGATCCACAAAAGTGGCTCTGCCATCAATGTCGAAGAGTTTGCGTCGGTCCGGCGCTGAGTTTCGAGCTGACGCTTCCAAATGGCACGGAGGGCACAGCATGCGCGCCTACGCACGCACAGCGCACACACCCGCGCACACACACACACACCCACACACCCACACACACACACACACGCACACGCACACGCGCACGCACACGCACACGCACACGCACACACTCGCGCGCACACACAAATGGTCGGTGGCCTGTCGAAATGCGCATGACCTGTGTTGGCACCAAGAGACTGATGGAACATTACGAAGGATTTGCCCAAAGGACTTCGCAGGATTGCGCAACCGTGGGCAAGCAGCCAGCAGGAACAGATCGCTCAGCAAGACACAGTCTCTCGTGGAGAACACGAGGGCTAGTCCTAAACATTGATTGTCTCCCTTTGCCCATGCAACCGTCATGAGATCCATACGGAACACGATGCTTTTGCATCTGCGTCGGCGCGCAGCCATGAGGGCACAATGAAGACCCGGATGTTCGCTTGATGAAGAACCCTCCCCGTCCCTGCCTGCACCTGGAATCAAGCCTTCCTCAAAAAAGTCGACAGAGTAGTGTAACTGCCCAAGTAGGCATGAAGTCATATGGCAGTGCTCAGAGGCGTCCGTAGTACCAGAAGTCTGTTTCTGTCAACCAGCAAGATTCGGCTTGTTCGCTCCGCCCTGTTGGATTCGCCAGGGCCTTCATTCTCACATTCTGGAAGTTGGATTTCGTAATATGTCCTTAATCTGACCCCAATGTTACCGAAGCATCAACACCTTCTTGTAGCGCTGGTCCAACCCCTTCCCAAGTGAGAATAGTGAAATGAGTGTTCCAGAAGAAGATGTTTATGTGAACTTTGTGCGGATGTTGTTCGACCTAGAGAACTGGTTGCATGGAGAGCAATCGGAGGCATTCCGCATACCTCAATCGTCGCAACAGAGTTCGGAGGGGCACATGCCTGAAGATGCTTGTGGCTGGTGGATGTTGTGATTTTGATTTTCGGGGGAAGCTCTTGCTGAGGTGCCAGGAGGCAGTTTAAGTTGAAAGCTTCGGCAGAGTTCAAGTGCTGTACGTCCGTTTGAATCCGGTGGCCGATTGCTACGATGTTGTCGTTAAGGATTAGCTTCTGAAGGGTGTTGACCATTTGTATTGTATAACTATTGTATACCTGTCGGAATGCCTTGTAATGAATTGAACTTGCATGCTAGCCTCAGCTCAGCGAAACGCACTGGATTTTCTGCCGCCGCTGCCCAGGCAGAGAAGCTTGATGAATCAGAGCTGCCTGACATCGCACATTTGACCCGTGACGAGAAGCAGAAGGCCAAAAAGGATGCCACTGAAGCCCTGCACAACGGAATGCACCTTGGATGTTTCAAGCTTGAAAACCGGCCGGTAGGAACAAAAAACCTTCTCTCAGATGCGACTCTGCGAGTTTTCGGAACTACTACGGTGGATGGAGGAAATCT